ATACATACATACACATATACATATGTGTGTATATATATATATATATATATATATATAGCAGACTTTGTAATATCAGAAAATATATCGTTGTCCAAAGAATTGATATATCGTATCATGATGAAACTGGTGATTTACACCCCTATTTGTTACGTACAGTAAAACAGTAAAACCTGCTTTATCAGTTGGTGTATAATCTCATTAGAACATGTCTCAACCAGAGTCAAGATAAATGTATTTTAGCAAGACAACAACTGATTCAAGCTAATCAGATAACAAACCTGTATGTAATTGAAGTATTTCTGGAGGGGACCAGCTACAAAAGATGGAAATTCCTGTCACATCTGTTTGACAAGGTCATGGAAGTGTCTGTGTGAGTGTTTTATTTTGTACAGTGTTTGTTAGCTGTGTGATGTGTTGCAGAGCTGTACCGTAAGCCTCCTCTATGAGTGCACAGTATGGGTTGATGCCTGTTCCGTTCTGTTTGGCCTCCTGTTCTCCCAGTCTGAGGATGTTCTCCAGACCATTGAGAGACACCTGCACAATCTTTGAGTCCATCACTGTCAGCAGGTCACACATGGGTTTGATGGCATTCAGAGACACCAAATACCTGTTTACGTAAAAAAAAATGTTAATGAAATTAAGTAGTTAACTTTATATTTAATTCAGTTTTTTTAATAAATTCTGTATTTAGAGGTTTAGTTAGGGAAATTATTTTTATTGATTACTTAACTTTTTCCCCAACTTTTAAACAGTAAATGCAATCCTGTTTAAATTTAACTGTCAGTGTTGATTTAGCTGTGGCTCCACTAAAAACCATCTACGAATGCCATTTTTCTGTGGCAGCGTGGTGCATTTAATTTAATCCAATCCAACTGAATACAACTATATTAATCCATGAAGGCAATTTTATTTTGGGCAAGTAAAAAAACAGACATATGCAGGGCTTCCAACACATTCATTTATTTCTGACGGCACATCATCATATGGCATTTGCCACCACATTGTTGTTTTTTTTTTTAAGCTAGACCGATATCCAGAGTGCTCTTGGAATACACATACTATTTGGTTATTTAGAGCTCCACACTTGTAGAATGCAGAAAAACACACTGCCCCTTGTTAGGCTGACTTAGGCCTAGTCTGCCAGGGGACCCCCTATAATACACCGGGCACCTTCTCTCCTTCTATCTTTCTCTGTCTCTCATGTCCTGTTACTGCATCTTGCTAACTTGGCCGTACTGCATGTCACTGACTTGGCTTCTTCTCTGGAGCCTTTGTGCTCCACTGTCTTGCAGGTTAACTCATATTGCAGCGGTGCCTGGATAGTGTGATGTGTGTGGTTGTGCTGCTGCCATGGTCCTGCCAGATGCCTCCTGCTGCTGCTGTTATCATTAGTCACACTTCTACTGTTATTATATACATATGATTATTGTCACATATGTATACTATCAGATGGTAATATATACTTTCAACATATTGTACCACAATAGCCAGAATTATAACTATAATATTATTACTTTCATTAATGTTGTTGTAAGCTACTGTCATTACCGTCTGTCCTGCATCTCTCTCTGTCTCTCTTTCTGTCTCATTGTATCATATGGATTACTGTTAATTTATTATGTTGATCTGTTCTGTACGACATCTATTGCACGTCTGTCCGTCCTGGAAGAGGGATCCCTCCTCAGTTGCTCTTCCTGAGGTTTCTACCGTTTTTTCCCCCCGTTAAAGGGTGTTTTTTGGGGAGTTTTTCCTTATCCGCTGTGAGGGTCCTAAGGACAGAGGGATGTTGTATGCTGTAAAGCCCTGTGAGACAAATTGTGATTTGTGATATTGGGCTTTATAAATAAAATTGATTGATTGATTGAGAAAACACTCTGGGCACAGATGGAGCAGTGCCAGGCGCAGTGAAAGTTAAACTTATGCTTACTGTTCATTGATTTATATGGCAATAGAAATATATATTCCCAGAACAACAGTGCTCTCATTTTAGTGTTGTCCATTGTTTTTTTTGTTTTGTTTTTTTGTCTTTCTAGGACAGGACAAGTTCATTGTGAGGGGGGAGAGGGGGGTGGCATGCAGCAGAGGTCCATGGGCTGGAATTGAGACATTACTTTTGTACATGGTACGCCCACTCTACCCACTGAGCTACTGGATGCCCTGTCCATAATTTTTGATGGTGACAGATGGGAACCAGCAATGAAGGAGAATTACAGAATACTCTAATACTCTCAGGGAAGAACTAAAGACGGTCTGTAGGATGGGTTTTTGGACAATGAATTAATTTAGTTTCCTGAGGAAGAATTGACAGTGGTATGCTTTCTTTATTATAGCTTCTGTGTTTTGCTCAAACTTCAGGGTGTTTTCAGAGATGGCACTGAGATATTCATACTGATCCACAACATCTACCTTCTCAATGTGTATGAACACTGCAACTGTCCTAACAGCCTTTCATCTCCTTGTTTTTGGTAATGTTGGCACACCTTACTATGAAATCATGACAAGCATGCTGCTGTTTAGACCCTGAGATGTGATACAGGAAGACCAGTAGTAAAATTAATGTGTGATGGTTGGAATAGGTGGTCTTACAGTCTTCAGGGTAGAGAATATACAGAGGGGGTTAGGACACATCCTAGTGGTGAGCCTGTGCTGGTGTATCTGATAAAAATCCATAATCCATAAAATTAGACCTTGATCTGGATAGAACTGAGTGTCCAGTTTCTTGGTGAGGATGACAGGCTGACTGGTGTCAAAAGCAGACAAAAAGTCCACAAACAGAAGCCTGGCAGAGCCTCCACTTTTCTCCAGGTGGTTCTGAATGGTGTCTATAGCAGGACCAGTTTAGCATCATTCACTCCCTTCTGGTACAGTAAGCAAACTGGAGAGGGCTAGGACTGCACCCGTAGCAGACATGATTTGGGACTTGACCAGCTTCTATAAAGCCTTCATGACATGAGATGTGAGAGCAATGGGCCTGTGGTCATTGAGGTCATTGTGGACCGATATAGCTGGAGAAGGACCCCACTGAGGCACTCACCTCAGTGTTTGAGGGTGCTGCCACAGATGCCATCAGGTCTGGCTGCTTTGTTGGTTGTTGGTTGGGGTGGCTTGAGCAGGTTTAGCACATCCTGTCTTAGAGGGTGAGTGTGGTGGGTGCTATGAGGCTTTGCTTGAGCTCTGGCATGTCAGATGCCAGGTCAGGCCTCTCCAAGTGGGTGTAAAACCTATTAAGTTAGTTAGGTAGAGAGGAATCACTGACCCCCTCCACACTCAACGGTCTTCTCTAAGTCTCTGTATTTATAAGTCTCTGGTAGCTGCCATACTGAAACTTCTGCTCATCTTATTGTTGTGCTGGGTTTTAGCCAGGTCAATGGCCTGTTTCACCTTTCTGTCAACCTGTTTTTTTCTCCTCTTCCTAAAATCCCCCCTAATGTTCCCAGTTATCCCTAAGGGAACAGTCAAAGTATCAATGTTTGCCTACTTTCAGCACATTGTAGATAAACATACCTTATCTGTGCAGGAGTGCCCCCGGAAGTGGCGTTGGTAATAGCCCACGCTGCCTCTTTCCTTGTGCGGAACTCGGCCTTCTGAAGGATCTCAATCAGCACTGGGAAGACGTTGGCATCAATCACATTCTGGCAAGGCAAGAAATGTTGTCAGCTACACCAGAACAGCAGACATTCTTCAGATGACACACTGAGCCCAGTTGAAACAACCTGCACCTGGATCTGAGCTCTGTTTCCTGCTGTGATGTTGGACACAGTCCAGCACGCCTCCTTCTTGATAGACTCCTTGGGACTGCTGAGGAGGTGGAGTAAACATGGCAGTGCGGAGCAGTTCAAGATTACCTGAGATGACAGAAATACATACAGAGATCAGATGGCCACATTTAACACTGTGTATGATCCCTCACAAAGACAAAATCATTGTAGAAAGAACATGTATGCTGTGAGTGACCCTCTACCTGAGTCTGGATGTCATCTCCCGTTACAATGTTGCCTACTGCCCGTAGAGCAGGAGAAACCACCTTATAGTCACTGTGCCTATACAAAACACAAAGAAACATTCATGCAGTGTGCAATGTTCAGATTCTTGCAAAAGCTACTGATGGTGACAGTTTTGTCCTGAAATTCAGTTCCTTAGAAGTTGACTGTTTTCACACAAAAATATTGAGAAAGTGAAGCTGTTCAATTAAAGACATTCAGCTTTTAAAGTCTTCATCATCTGTGCTCTGCAAGAATCGACTCAAAACCAAACCAAAATCAGTCCAGGTTAGGGCCTTTCCACCGACAAGAACAGCAGCAAAAATCAACTGACCCAAGTAATTTTAATTCAAAACCTCTGCACTGCAGCCACAAAAAAATCTTATCTCTGATTGGATGAACATTTTAGAGGATAATTTTGGTGCATTTCAACCTGACATATTACCCATAAATTAGTTACTGTGACCCTATGGGTCATGCTAATGTTGTACTCGTCAGCCTCATGGTGGATAGTGGAGCAGCTTAGCTCAATAATAGGGAGGAATTGTGCAATTTGTGATAAAAGCATAAAATTTGGTACACTTATAGCCAAAGGCATTCTGAAAATAATCGGATATGCAGCCATCTTGAATTTTCAATATGGCGGCCACGGCAGCCATTTTTCTGAATGGCCGCCAGCAACAACAGTTTTCTTATGTGGGATTGATACTGAGGACATAATTAAATCTCTTTACTATACCATTGTGAATTGCAGTCTTATTGCTGTCATCTCTGAGAAAGTTAATACACTACTACTAGACTATGACCAGAACCAGTACATTGATTACTGACTCCAGAAAACATGGCGTTACAAAGCAGAGTGTGTTTAGCTGACACTGAACCCCATGCTGAGTTTCACAGCAGTGGTGTCGCCAGTGTGCCCTGGCTGTGTTTTGACATCCACTCCATTACAGTTTATTGGATTTAAATAATTTAATGAAATGGGTGTTCATATTGAATTGTGAGGTAGCTGGAAGCTTCCAAGCAATTCTAATGTTCCAATTTCAAATTCTGCATCTAGAAAAATGAGACCAGTCCACCTCACAGCAGAAAACTAGTGGCCATCTTGAATTTTCCATGATGGGGGTGGGTGGGGGTGTATGATAAAGGCAATTCATAATGGTATGGAAAATAAACTTAACAAATTTGTGTCCTAAATATCAAATTATATCCATCACACATACGAAAACAGTTAGTGGCCATTTTGAAAAATGGCTGCCATGGCCTCCATATTGACAATTCAAGATGGTCTCCATATCCAATTATTTTCAGAATGTCTTTGGCTATAAGTGTACCAAATTTCATGCTTTTATCACCAAGTGCACAATTGTTTTGGCTATCTGCCCCACTAAGAGCTTCAGGGGAAACAAGGACGCTTACAAAATAACATATCAGGTCAAGCTTTGCTCGCCTCCTACAGCTTTTCCAAAAGTAAGATTTTTTCATCACCAGTCTTTTCAAAAACTTGTCTCAAAGTATGCACGGGATTACTTGCCAGCTGACCCTGCATTTTCATCCACACACTGGTTCATTCACATGTGTGAGGCTGACTTTCAATGTGGTTATATCTTCTAAGGAAACTCAAAAAGCTAAAGGCCAGGGCTGATTATCCTGTGGATAATAGCCCATAGTGAAACCACTAATATACCATGGCCGTGACCTTTTCACAATAAAAATCATAATTTAGCAACATAAAAAAACACAGTATTATAGATAATGTTGTGCTCTTCTTGTACAGTGTGTGATTTACACATAAAAAGTCATTATTATTGAATTTTAATACATTCTGAGCTAAAATTCTCATTACCGCAATGAGTCCGTATTCATTTCTATGGATCCTTGATTGCATTTTAGATTGAATAAACAAAAACTTTCACTAAAACAAAATGCTTATTGTTTATTATGTCTTGTGGTAAGGTAAAACATAATGCATAATATTGTTTAATTCTCAAAATTCCATTTTTTTTGCTTTAAACATGGTGTCCGTCAATGCATCCTCTGCAACAATTGTTCCATTTCTGTAAAGACTACAAGATTCTTTCAATAAAGTTTTATTTTCCCAAGATGCATCACAAAGAGAGGGAGTTTCAAGATGGATACAAGGTATGCTAACTCTCTTCTTTTTTTTTCACACTTTAAAATTTCTTTCTCCAGCCCTTGTACATGACAAAACTGATTCTCATTACCGCAACATGAGATACTGCTTGTTTGAAAAAAGCTTTGATTATCAATATTTGATCAATATTAAGGTAAATAAATTCCTAACACGAGCCACATCAATTTTTTTGCCGAGTCATAATGCCTTCACTACTGTTAGCAAAACATGCTAGCTCTTCTCATCCTCCACAACACCCTTCTCATATACCGCTACACTGTCATCCCTGTTGCGGTAATGGGAATTGTTGTTGCAGTTGTGAGAATTTACCCTTTTTCAAGTGTCTTTATTGTATTTTATTTTATAATCAAATATATTTTATTTTATTTTGGTATTGTAGGAGCATCTAGTGCCACCTATAGGTTTGTGATTATTACACTGGATGTATAGAAGGTGGCGGCACGGTGGTGTGGTGGTTAGCACTGTCGCCTCACAGCAAGAGGGTTGCCGGTTCGATCCCGGGTGTGGGAGCCCCTCTGTGCGGAGTTTGCATGTTCTCCCTGGGCACTCCGGCTTCCTCCCACAGTCCAAAGACATGCAGATTGGGGACTAAGTTAATTGATAACTCTAAATTGTCCGTAGGTGTGAATGTGGGCATGAATGGTTGTTTGTCTCTATGTTTCAGCCCTGCGATAGTCTGGCGACCTGTCCAGGGTGTACCCTGCCTCTCGCCCGATGTCACCTGGGATAGGCTCCAGCCCCCCCGCGACCCTCAAGAGGATGAAGCGGTTAGAAGATGAATGAATGAATGAATGTATAGAATGTCAAAAGTGGCGCACATGCTGATTTTTACCAAAAGCCAAACAAAATCAGCTAGTGCTATTTTAGCTGGCTAGTTTTAGTGACTTTAACACCACCTGCAGGACTACCAGTGAATTGATTAAAATATTAACATGATTTCTTTTGCTGATGTATTGCAGGGTTAAAGCTAGCACACTTAATAAAGCTGCAGCTAATGTTATATTAAAAAAACACTGAGACAAAATCTACAGCAACCAAAACTCCTGGAGGAATACAGGAGGAAAAAAAGAGAAAGGTCAGAAAGGTGTCAGAAAAGTCGATAAGCAGGTCTTGTCCTATGTAGCTATTGTTACATTATCTAGCATGTTATTAAATGTTAGCTTTGTTGAACTGAGTCTCATTGGTTATTACACATAATCACTCACCCACTCAAGTCTTAAGTGTGCACTCACTAACTCGCTCACTCACTCAAGCCCTAAGCACTCGCTCACTCAAACATAAGCACTCACTCACTGCTTACTCACTCACTCACCCCCTTGCTCACTCACTCACTCACTCACTCCCTTGCTCGCTCACTCACTCACTCAAGCCATAAGCACTCACCCGCTCACTGCTTGCTCACTGCTTGCTCGCTCACTAACTCACTCACTAACTCACTAACTGCTTGCTCGCTCATTAACTAACTCACTCACTCACTCGCTCACTCGCCCGCTCACTCACTCACTCACTCACTCACTCACTCACTCACTCAAGCCATAAGCACTCTAGGACTGTCAAAATTGCTCAAAAATGATGTTCGAATATTCCTTCTAAAAATAACTCATAGGTTCGAACCATCTGAATTTTTTTTTTCGCATTATGTCCACAAGAGGGCAAACTAATACAAGGAAACATACTTCTATATGTATTAATGTATTAATACAAGGAAACATAACTACTTGTAGGTATTTTTATTTCAACATAAATGTCTCTGAAAACATTTACATACCTACGCATTAAAACACATAAAACAATTATCTATAACATTACGTTGTAAACGACCGCGGACCTCTCGCTCGCCCCCCCTTTCTGACCCGTCAGGCCACACTGCCCGCGGAAGCGCTGCGAATAGCCTCGAAGTGAAGCCAGTTTCCTTTCGGCGCCCATGTTAACCGATTGTGTCATCCACACCGGCTGCGCCGCGCAGCGCAGCTCCGTGGCCGCTCCCACCTCCCACTCGCAAAGAGGACAGCTGCGGTGGTGTTTTTTTTTTTATTCCCCCCCCCCCACAATTGAATATCAATTTTCACATTTGAAGGTCCATTTTTTTTCAAATTCGAATTTAGAATATTCGTTGACAGCCCTAAAGCACTCACCCGCTCACTCACTCACTGCTTGTTCACTCACTAACTCACTCACTCCCCCAATCCCAAACTGCCTACTCAAGCACTCACATACTATGATGCGCGCTCTCGCGGAATTCGTTAGTGGTTGAGGGTGTCCCACTGTCGTATTTCAAAGGGTGTGAGGAGTCGCTCACTCCCTTTATGACAACTCAGTGTAAGTGAGCATCTTAGTGGACTTTGTGTAAGTATATTACCCACAGTTCAAAGAATTGTGACGTTTACCACGGGGTCCATAGGGAAATCCGGACGTTGAAATAGTAAATAACACAACCGCAAACCAAGATCCATACAAGGAGGAGAAAAGTGACGATCAACAAAACAAACAAACAAGCATAAACGTGGAAATGACTGACTCCAATCTGACAGCAAACCACACTGACAACAGTGTGAAAGGTAAAGGGAAGGCTTCAAAGAGAAAGAAATGTTCATGTAAGTACTCCTTTAGTCGTTCTTGTCATCTGTTATGCTAGCGTGCTAGCTGTATGAATATGAACAAAATTGTCACCCATACATGTTATTTTCAATCAGGGAGTGAACAACAAACCCTCCAGTTCATCCAGTTAAGGGTGGATCACGAGGCGAAATTCACCAACCACCGACATTCGTCTGTAGAAGGCTTCAATTAAGTAGCGTGTCTACAATACATAACTTAAGAAAAATGTGAGAGTTTTGGCTGCTACTACAGTATGGATGACAGTAGTCTAAACTGTGTGTGTGTGTGTGTGTGTGGGTACCTTTAC